AGCCATGAACTTCCTGAAATGCTTTCTGACACTCAAGGTGAATCCTGAGTTTTTTCCTCATCTGTGCTGCAAATCATGTAGCTGTGCTGGCCATGGACAGTATAAAGGAAACACTCTTTGGTTTGGGGCAACAAGGAAGGGGCCCTTGTGTGGCTCATGGAACTCCTGGACAGAAAGCTACAGACCAGGGCTGGACCAGAGTTCATATGGGGAGACACCTTCTGTGAAGCCTCGAGTTAGGAGACAGCTGGTCTGTGAGAGGAGCTCAGAGAAGTGCCTGTGGTCACGCACTGAGAGTCAGGCAAGAGGGGCAGAAGATGGGAGTGGGAAAAGCAGGATCCCCCTCACACAGGAGCCCATGGTACCAGCAGTGGTCCCGCAGGTGTGTGTCCTCCTTCCCTCTCTGATGTCTGAGGATGGTTCAGATCTAAAGACAGTACCTGAGTCATGGGGCATGGCCTTGCCTCTGCCCACATGGACCAGGTCTCCTCTGCAAGCAGGAGGGCCAAGAGGGTGCTGGGAGCCCCTCAGGGGAGCTGGCAGTGGGAGGGGTGTGGATGCTTCCAGAACTCCAGTGATTGGACTCTCCTCAGTTGTTGCCCCACAATGGAGGCCTCACTCGCCCCGTAACTTCCCAGTAGTGAGTTCTTGGGGATCTGCTCTGGACTATGTTGTCTTCTGATTTCTCTCAGTCTTATCTGATCTTAGACTCTTGTGGTGAGTTTCTGGACCCCTTTCTTGTACTATTTATTTAAAAGTATAAATCCCAGTCCTCCTCATTGACAAACACAGAAATCTTTCCTGGACTCTTATCAGTTTTATGTTCCTTTCATGTCTTTCTCAAGACCTCATGAGCCCTTCTCTTGAAATGTAATCTTTAAGGGCCTACACAGGGTAGGGTGCTTGCCTTAGACTTGGTCCATCCGGGTTCTGGTTTAAGCTTTGATATTACCGAGTCCCTGAACTTGCCAGGAATGGTCCTGAGAACAGAGCCAGGAGGAAGCACTGAGCACTGTTGGATGTGGCCCCCAAAACAAAAATCTCATAGAAAGCAACTCCCCTGTCTCCTGCTCTTGACAGATTTTGGGGGCCTAACTATTTATTTCAAATGAGTTCATTTTCATTTTCAAAACGAACTTAACATTAGTTTTCATCATTGTAGACTTTCAGAGGCGTAAATGACACCTCTCTAAGTAGCCTTCCCTATCCCACCACTAGTGTTCCTGGGTCCTCCCAGCACTGGGAAGACTTCTTTCTTCATCCTCCCAGTCATCCCTGCCCTTTGAAGCAGCCACAATTTTCACTGAGCCTGGGAGTTAGTTTTCTTCTTTTTTTTCTTGTCATTGTTTTTGCATGAATTATTCATATTCCACAGAGTACTAAAAATAGCCCACAATTGTCTTTCATTTCCTGATTTATTTCTCTCAGCATCATCACATCTAGTTCCATGCCTTTTCTCACAAATCAACTATTTCATTGTCTTAACAGCCATGGAACTTCCATTGAGTATGTAATATCACAGCATTATCCAATTATCTATGTACAGACATTTTAGTTGATTTCATGTTCACAACCCTTTTAGAATTGAGGTAACATAATTTATAATATTCACTGTCCTCCTGTTGTTCATCAATTTGGTCAAGCGGGCCCAGTAACATCTCCATCATGAGACTTGTTGTTACTGTGTTTGGCATATTGAATATGTCACGGGTAGCTTGCCAGGCTTTGTCGTGCGGGTGAGATACTCTCAGTAGCTTGCCAGGCTCTTTGAGAGGGGCGGAGGAATCGAACTTGGGTCAGCCATGTTAGCTGCGTGAAAGGCAAACGCTGTGCTATCGCTCCAGCCCAATTTATAATATTGTTAATAAAATTTATATGAATGCATTGCTAACACCACCCTGCATTTTATGATCCATATTTTGTAATGATAAATTTTGGGGGGACATTGGTGCAGGAAAATGGGCACTCCCTTGATTGTGGCACTTGAGGGCCTTCTTCCCTCTGCCAATGTCCCTAAGACCCCTCCTGCCCGCCTCCCTTTCCTGCGACCTTCCCCCAGGTAAACTCAGATCTGTGAACCAATTATCTAGTTCCATGTTTTATCTTTTGTGACTAACGCTTCTGTGAATATAGGAATGCAAAATGTCATTTAATTAATGCATCTCTGAGCTTTGTATGGATGCCTTGTAGAGATATGCAGAATAATATGGTATGACTATTTCTATCCCTTAAGAAAACTCCATATTGTTTATAGAAACTGTATCAAGTTACAGTCCTGCCAACTGATACCAAGGCACCTTTTCTCACATCATTTCATTTTTTTCATTTCATCATCCTGTTATTCGTCGATTGCCTCGAGCAGGCCCCAGTAACATCTCTTTCATCCTAGCCCTGAGATTATATTCAAGGCTCTTTAGGAGAATGAGACCCATCATTGTTACTGGTATTTGGCATATTTGGTACGCCACGGGGAATTTGCCAGACTCTGCCCTGTGGGCAGGCTACATTCGATAGCCTGCAAGTTTGTCCAAAGTAGGAATGAGATAATAAGATGTCATTAAAAGATGTCCTGATAAGATGTCGTATGGCCGCGAATGCGGCCACGTGGTTCCGGGAGCTGGATTTTATAGTCTCTGAGTCTTGGCCGTTGATGGGATTACAAGGCGCCAGGGGGCCAGGTGGTGGGTGTGACCCACGCCTACTGGGATGTGGAGGATCTGGGTGGAAGATGCTCGACTCCAGTCCGAGTAGGCTTGGAGATTTTGGCCCCAGAACCCGCGTGGCTTTGTCCCTCTGCCAGTACCTTCATGTGTGCGGAGAGTGGTCTCAACATGGTGGTGGCTGGTCCTGGAGGTATTCGGCTGCCGGAGCCCTGCTCACATCATCACCAATATTTGGTAATTCTGTTCATCCTGACATAGGGATCCTTACCAGCATGATTTGTATCTCGTTGTGGGTTTATATGCATTTCTGTAATAATAAGTGATAGTATTTTCCCTTGCCTACAAGTCATGTGAGTCTCCTATGGAAGTGCCTCTTCATGTGTTGCCCACTTTTTAGTTTGTTTTGATTTGGGGGTCATATGTGGCTCTATGCTCTGGGACAATCCTGGGAATACTTTGGCAATCGTAGGAGGTTGCAGGGATTCAACCCAAGTTAGTTGTCCTCAAAACAAACACCTACCCATTGTACTTGGCTCCAACCTGGCTTAAAATTTCTTTAAAAGTGAATCTACTTTGGAGTGTGAGCGCCCTAGTGGTACTAGGGAATCGAAGCTGGGCCTTGGATGGACTAAGCCTGTCATGGTGCTCTAGCCCTTGCCCTGAAATAGGTGTTAAACAAAAAATCTTGGTTTTGTTTAAAGCTCATTGTTTTATTCTGCATTTTTTGAGTCTGCAACATTGGTTTTGTAATGATAAATAGAACATATGCTTCCACACTAGGAATGTAAATTTGCTAATTTATATTCTTAAATTTTTTTCTTAACTTTTTAACTTTTAAGTTTTACTTAATGTCTTATACCTTTTTTTAAAGGCATCATTTAGGAAGCTATGTCCATTAAACCAATAGAAATATAGCCAATAAGGTAAAGAACATTGATTAGTGATCTCCCTGGTCCCGTTTGGAGGGTGCTTAAATGGCACCGATGGCTGAAGGGCGAAGGGGAGATTCAACCACAGGACCCAGACTCTGGCCCACCCAGGTTATCCGGGGAAAAGGTGTCATTGCCACTGCCACCAGTACCGCTTTTCACCTCTTCACTATTCTTTGCCCCCTGGACCTCACATTCCCATGGCAACAGAGCCAGAACTAAGGCCCTGGTGACCAGGGCCTTCAGCTTTGACTACTGGAACATGGACTTACCATTCGCTAGCTGGGTGAACCACAGGGCTGGAGCCACTTCCTGCGCTTTTTGTGGGCCTGTGTTCATTAGCATTGAGGTATAAGAGACCCCGAGAGCTGCAGTGGGACCTGGGCAGGACACAGATCAGCATCCTCTCTCAGTCCAGGCCTGTCCTGGGAGCAGAGAGATCCACCCCTCTAGAGCAGCTCCCAATTCAGAGGTGCAGCTGCAGATCTGCCCTTCGTCCTACAAAGGGCACTGCAGCCCTCCTGGTGTCTTCACAGAAGCCTGAGGTCCTGGATGTCACAGAACCATGGAGGTGACCTGGTCATTCTCTATGGTGTGGCCTCACTGGCAGTGGGAAGCAGTCCAGCAGGAAGACAGAACTCCTCCTCTGCCATCTCCTTTTGGCTCGTGGACTCTGCACACTCAGCTCCAGTGCAGGCGAGGGGCTACCCTGCCTCCTGACAATTCCCAGCAGCTGAAATCTCCCCATTTGATGACTCCCTGAGTTTCCCTGTCCTCCTCTAGGACCCAGATGCAGGTTCTGAGAGTTGTCATCTTCACATGCTCATTCCTGGCTTCCCTGAATGGCTTTTTGTGTGCTGTGTGATGGCTGTGTGGAGAGGTTGGCGTTTGCGGGTTCAGTGATGGATAGTGCAGAGTTCCTTCAGCCAGGAAGGAGGGAGAGCACTTAGAGGAAACTGTGACCTCCAGAACCCAACTGAACAGGACATACCTTTAGTCCCTGGGCTTACAATGAAAAAAGGCACATAAATCTGAAATAATAGGCACAATTTTCTTTGAGGGTGAAGGTAGAGTATGTCTTTAAAAAAAAATTGGTGACACTTCCCATTTCTTTAGTGTTTCTGTAGATATTGAGATTCGTTAGAGCACACACCCGACATCTAACATTTTTTGCTGTAATTGATGGAACTGTCAATTTCATTCCCACCACTGCATTTAGCAGATTGTACCCCCACAACTGCATAGGGTCCCTGGGCACTGCCAGGAATTATCCCTGCCAAGAGACAAGCCCTTGGCAACACTGGACGTCTCCACTAACCCCCAACAAAACCAAATCAAACCAAAGCAAACAGTATATCCAGAGAAAGTCGCAGGAGTAGTGATGAGGGAGCAGAAAGTACAGGGCCTTTTAGTAGAAATGAGATCCTTCCAGCATATTCACCAGCTTGTACTTCAGCAGTAGGGATACCATGCAGAGCTGGACATTTTCGTCCCGAGGGTCTGCACAGGTCTTCTTGTCTTCCTTAGTTATGAAGCTGGGAGGGAAGGAGAGGAAGATCACACACTGAGAAATTCTATGGACTTGGGAGACCCCCCCACACACTTCCCGTCCAGGGATCCCCACCCAATCCAGCCTCCTGCTTCCTTTCTCTGCTTCAGGAGCCCAGAGCCTCTCTGGCATCTCCTCTCCTGTCCCTTTGGTCAGCTTCACTCCTGGGCTCTTCTCTCCCCCAATCTCTCCTCCCTTGGGGCCTCTGGGATCACCCCTCCAGCCTGGAGAGATTCAGGGAATTTCCCTGACACTGTCCATCAGGTCTCCTCTCTCAGCCCCCAGAGCACATGGCCCATGATTGAACACTTACACGATGCCCCGGAGGGGGCACTCACTGTTGGTTTTATAATAATCTTTCATTCTTGAACAGACAAAGTTTGTGTACTTGCTGTAGCAGCACTCAATGTCTCCGCTGAAGGCTGCAGAGGAGAAAGGGCCATTTCAGGAGAGAATCTGTTTGTAAAGTGGTCAAGTCCTTCCCCTCATTCCTCCAAAGTTCTAGGGAGAACCAAGGATGAGGGACTCCAAGGGTATTATGTCCTTCCTGGCAGGCTGTCTACTTCTCCTTGCTTCCCTCTGCACGTGCAGAGGCTGAGCTCTGTGTGTGTGTGTGTGTGTGTGAGTGCACGCATGTATGTGTGTTGTGTGTATATGTATCTGTGTCTGTATATGCGGTGACCCACGCAGGACCAAAGCAGGGCCAGGATCATCTGTCCCAGGAAAGGAAGGATGTGATGGTGATCACACATCACCCGCTGTCCATAGGAGCTGACCAGGGATTGCTAGGTGGCAGTAGATGGCAAGGTAGATATTACTTGAAGATAGTTATCACCCCCAGGACCCTCCCCTGCCCCCAACATCCCACAGACAAGGTGGGGGACAGCCCTGGGCAGTGTGTCTCATTTGGCCTCCTCAGCTCCCAACCACACTCCCCCTTTACCGTATATCTCGGGTCCATCATCAGGCATAGTCATGTTTGAGGGTCCTATATGGGAGACAGACAAGGGGGTGAGAGCAATGACAGAGAGGCACAGAGTCGCAGTGCATCCACCTAGCATCCCCCTGGCTTACTGGCTTATGTCACTTACCCCAACAGCTTCAGTGCTGTGGCATTTTCTTCTCTTTTACAGCTGGGAAAGAGTTCCCTGCTTTTCTACGGCCCATTTCAATACCAAAAATTCATTGATTTGTCCAGGGCTGCTTTGACTGCTCTCACCTTTTGACTGATGAGTTATCACTAACTTATCACCAATGCTGTTGTCACCACAGTGAACCAATGACTCTTACCGACTTTCAAAACTTTCAAGAATGAGTTGGAATTGGAATTTCTGTGTCATAGTGAATATTCTTTATAAAAACCTGAAGAAGTCAATATCTCTGTAACCACCTTGTTTCAAAGTGTGTATAATGTATGACGACCTCTATTGCATTAAGGCAACAACCAAACTTTTTTGCTAATTTCCAGTTACCAATGGTATAAATAAGGCTTGTTAAATAAAAGTGTAATGGCCTTATGTTCTTATAACAGCTTCCTTATTTCTTATGTGCTAATTCTCCCACTTAATAGCTATGTGAGCTCCAACAAGTGATCTAAGACTATAATGCCTGAGTTTCATTGTTCAAAAAATGAGAATCATGATATAAACAGATGAAACTAGGCTAGCTGAGAATAGTCTATCCTTCAGTGTTACTAGTTCGATCCAATGTGTTTATCCAGAGGATGCAAGGAATGGTTCCTGCTTGCAGTGGGAAGTACTAGGTATGTGTTGCTAAATGAGTACCTGAATTAGGTAGGTGACTTGAGACAGTCACTTGCCTGGCTGCTTGTATTTCCTTCACAAAATGATCATTTTTCACTAGATGATGTAACTTCATTCCTAATACTGTAGAATTCTCTGCTTTTTTTCTCTAAATTTTTAAATAACTCTTGTTATTTTCATTTACCACTAATGATCTTATATCATCTAAGAGCAGCTATCAAATATCAGGTCATGAAACAGGAGAGATTAACTTCTCTAAGATCAATTAGTCATTTGTATGTAAGGGAGTCAAAGAGACAGAGAGCAGAGAGAGGGAGGGAGAGAGAGATCTCCTCCCTACTACTACAGAGATTTTTGTTTATTTATTGTAATTATTTATTTCCCTCTCACCAGGTGTGCCAGACAATGAAGGGCAGGAATGGATTGCAGAACATCAAAGATGAAGCTAAGAACCCCTGCTTGCATTGAGAAATTTCTAAGCCATCGGGCCATCTTCTGGGCCCCTTTTATCCTGGGGATCCTCAAGACCAGAGCTGTCAGGCTTCCCTCAGTGTGTGTTTAAGAAAGATAAATCTCCTCCCCCACCCCAACCGGACCCTGAGATGCCGCCCACGAACGTCCCTCCCCCCCACACACACACTTATTAAGCTCCTCAACGGCCATGATCCCAGAGACACATAAACAATTAATGAATCTCATAACTGAGTGGCTCTTGGTAGAAATCTCTCCAGACCTAATTATTAAAATTTTAGAATTCTAAGATCATATGCTATTCATAACCAGCAATAGAAAACATTTTTTTCTAATGTTGCCTTTTTGGCAGGTCTGAGTGTTGGGGGAAAATTCCAAATAATAATGGTGGGACTGGTGTTGAAATATTGAATGTGATCAAAGTAGAGAGAGAGTAATGTGCAAATTATCTGCCACATAGGCAGGGGTGGGGGGGATGAGGGTATATTGGGGTTTTTGGTGGTGGAAGATGTGCACTGGTGAAGGTATGAGTGTTTGATCATTGTACAGCCAAGACTCAAACACAAAATGGGCTTGCCATGTCAATTGCCTGTTGTAGGGTCTCTCTGGTAGTATTAGGGGAAACTATCTCAGCACCCATGTTTCCACCGCACTTTTCTGAGCCCTCACCTTAGCCTTGCACTATCTATACATTAAAGTAGCTTTCCCAGGATCTAAGCTTCTCCCAAGACCCAAGACCCAAGGAGCCAGGAACCTTGAAAACTATTGCTAACAATCTATAAGTTAAAAAAATGCCTAGAACAGGATTATGGGCTAACTTATGTAAGCTTTTTCCTTAAACCCTAGATAAAGATGTCAGAGTACTCGAACTTATGGAGCATTTAGGAGAAACAAGCAACACATAGTGGTCCAGTTAGTATCACATGAAAGGAAGCAGACCTCTTTACCTATAAAGCCCTAGGGACGAAAGGCTTCTAAAAGCTTTTCACTTGAATGCCCCTTCTGTTCTGGAAACTTTTTTCGCAATAAACACTTGCTGTTTATTTCTTTAAACTTTGTTTGCATCCAGTAGATATTCTTCCAGAACCAGGATAATCTGGGAGGATGAGGGAGACCCTGATCTGCCATGTTCCTATGTCACCACCAGACTTTGACTTCCCAATGGTGTTCTAGTCAGGTGAGGGCTGTCAGCCACTGAGGCATCCCCTTGGGTCCTGCTGCTGCCCTCAGACAAGTGTCAAATCACATCCCCATCTAGAACAGGGTCTGTCACAGGGAGGAGAAATGTGTCCCCTGGTGAGTCCTCTTAGACCAGGAGTGACAACAGACCTGACCATCCATGAGAAGGTCAATGAACTCACCCTGAGTGACTGGAGCCGGGATCCCGAGATCAGCCACAGCCAGCAGGAGCATGAGAAGGGCAGCTGCAAAGCGCTTCATCTTCCTGGTTACAGGGTGGTTCCCAGGCTCCAGCATGTAGCTCGCAGATTCTCTTGAATCACAGCTCTGCCTTGTCTTTATAAGAAGAGGAGGGTCAGGAAGTCGTAGGCAGATTTCAAGTAGACAACAAAGCCTTTCAAAAAGGGAGCAAGGAGATTGGGAAAGTCACAGGAAATAGAAGGTAAAAAAAACAAAACCCTGGACTCTGTCTCAATTGCCCAATGGATAGTGTAAAAAGAGAGGGAAAATTTTATGAGGGAAACTTCCTTTAGGAGATTCACTGAATCCCTCCCATCAGAGCTTTCCCCAGAGCTAATGGTCTTTGCATGCATAAATAGCTTATTAACAAGATAATCAACAGAGTGGGTCCCCGTTTGTGAAAACCCAATCATGAAATTGCTCACAGGAAATGGAGAGGTCCTGATCTTGAGCTTGTAACCCCCTTTGCTGAGCAAACACCCTCTGCCATTCACTCAGTCTGGTTCTCTTGGGGTGATTAAGCCTTTGTTGACACATTTGATTCCAAAAACCCATAGGTTTTTGAGTCACATCATTTATGAGCCACATTTGCTATAAAAAGGATCCCTTGGTCTGTGGGTGTTTCACAAATACTTTACGGTCTGAGCACAAATTCCATAAAGCCTGAGAATATAAGATTGGCAAAGACACTAGTAATTGGGTGAAAAACCCCATACGGAGTGTTGATACTGTTGACTTTGAAAGATTTTCCTGGAACAGAAGAAGGTCCCTAGCAGAAAGCTTTATTTTCTCCTGGAAGGCAGGTGCCCTATTAAATCTCTGGTTTGACATTAATGGTAACAATAGTTTCCATGTGGTTTTGTCCTTGTCACTGCAATCTCTGGCTCGTTGACTTAGGCCTGCTATAGCTAATGGGAGGGGCCAGTAGACATGCTCAGGACAAGTCATTCTGTCCATATGCTCCCTGCTCTGGATGCTCTCCATGGGCTTACCCGACGGTGAGATGAAGTGCTTCTGCCCTGAGAGCCTTCCTGGAAGGATTCCCAATCGAGTCTGCCCCCCGCCCTGTCCTCTCTTACAGAAACCCCAGCATCCTGTCCTCTCTGATGTATGCACTGCTCTGCCCACACCCCAAGATACAGGCTGGCAGTGTGTGCTTCTCCTGTGCACGCTGAGCTCTCCCACACTAAGGGACCATGAGGGGTGGGGCAGGAGGAAGGTCAGCCGATGGAAGCTCCCATGTTCTTGCTCAGCTACTGGTTTCTTAGATGCTTATCTCAGATCCCTTATCGAGGGACATTTTCTGTCATACCTTCCAACTTCTCTTAGCCCTTTCTTATCAGGCCATGTCTATGTCCTGGATTATCAGAAAGTCTGTTCTGTGCAAGGTCACAAGAGGAAAGGAGTCTTTACTTCAGGGAATGTCCCTCTTTTCCACTGTGGTTGTTGTCTTGTTTGGGCCAACTAGTAAATCTCACATCCCCTTTGTAACAGTTAGAATTTATGTCTCCAGTTAAAGTGCTCTTCAACCTGCCCATGTCCTAAACTGGAGCACGTCTCATTCCAAAAGCTGCACGAAGGTCTGAGAGACGCCTCAGTGGGTGGAGCACATTTTTAGCCTGTGGGAGGCCAGAATTCTATGCCCACTTCTACAAGGTTTACCAAGTACTGGGAGTTGCCCCAGGCTCAGACCTCAGAGAAGCCTCTAGTTACCATGGGTGTGGTCCCCAAACAAACAAACAGAAGTAAAAGAAAAGCAAAACAAGTGCTGTGACAGTCAAGAGCGGTGGCCTGGCCAACAATGGACTGGTCACTTCTACACACAGCAGGGGCTATGGAGCAGCAGAAACCTCAGTGACAGACACTTATCTGGGTCTCTGCTCGTGGATGGCAGGATGTACAGTGTTGCCACTTTCCCGCTGTGGTGCTTTGCTGTGAAGGGAGAGCAAGGGCATAGGACCGAGTCCCGGGTGTGCACTGTGTCCTGGCAAGGGGACCGCTTTGGATTCAGTGCTCAGCCATGGACTTCCTGAAATGCTTCCTGACACTCAAGGTGAATCCTGAGTTTTATTTCTTACTGTGCTGCCAATCATGTAGCTGTGGTGGCCATGGGCAGTATGAAGGAAACACTCATTGGTTTGGGGAAGCAAGGAAGGGGCCCTGGTGTGGCTCACGGGATTCCTGAACAGGAAGCTACAGACTGGGGCCAGACCAGAGTTCATGGGGAGACATCTTCTGTGAAGCCCCAAGTCAGGAGACAGCTGGTCTGTGAGAGGAGCTCAGGGAAGGGCCTATGGTCACGCATTGAGAGTCAGGAAAGAGGGGCAGGAGATGAGAGTGGGAAAAGCAGGATCTACCTCACACAGGCGCCTGTGGCTCCATCAGGGGGTCCCCCAAGTGTGTGAGCCCCCTTCCTTTGCTTATGTCTGATCATGGTTCAGATTTAAGGACAGTGACAGAGCCATGGGATGTGGCCTTGCCTCTGTCCACATGGACCAGGTCTCCACAGCAAGCAAGAGGGCCAGAAGGGTGCTGGGAGCCCCTCAGGGGAGCAGGTGGTGGCAGGGGTGTGGATGCTTCCAGAACTCCAGTGAATGATCTCTCCTCAGTTGCTGCCCCACAAAATAAGCCTCACTCACTCTGGCGATTTCTTTTTTTTTTTTTTTTTGGTCACACCCAGCAATGCTCAGGGGTTACTCCTCACTCTGAACTCAGGAATTACTCCTGGTGGTGCTTGGGGTACCCTATGAGATGCTGGGGATCAAACCCAGGTCAGCCAAATGCAAGGCAAATGCCTTAACTGCTATACTATAACTCCAGCCACTTAAAGATTTTTTTTTTGTAGTGAGCATATGCTCTGAACCAAGTTGCTTTCCTGTTTCTTTCAGTCTTATCTGAGCTTAAGCTCCTGCTGTGGGTCCCTGGACACCCTTTCTCAGAGCTTTTATTTCAGAAACCTTATCTCTGAATTCTTTTTTGCCCTTTGAAGGATATAGAAATCTTTCCCCAGAGTCTTAGGGGATTTATGGTCCTTAAATGTCTTTCTCAAGGTTCTTGGAGCCATTCCTTTGAAATGAAATTTTAAGAGTGCAACACCCCTCTCTCCTGTCCACTGAGGCACCATGAGAGTCTAATTATATTCATTCTTAAAATTTAGATATACTTTTTCTTTCAAAGTGAAGTTGCTTTTAGCTTGCACTATTGTATGCTTTCAGGGGCTTAAAGATACTTTTTAAGTAGCTTTTCCCACCCCACTACCAATGTTCCCCAGTTCTCCCAGAACTGGGAATACACGCCCTCAGCCTCCTAGTCTACCCTGTTCTACCCTGGAGGCACAATTGTTCTTACTGAGTCTGAGAGTTAATTTTCTTTGCTTCTCTGTTTTGTGTCAGTCTTTTGACTTTAGTTATTTATATTTCATATATCAATGAAATTGTCCCACAATTGTCTTTTACTTCTCAACTTTTCACTTAGCATTATTATCTCCAGTTCCATCCATTTTCTCCCAAATGACACAATTCCATCTTTTTTAATGGCAGAGTAGTATTCCTTGGAGTATGTATACCAGTTTCTTTATCCAGTCATCCACATGTGGACATTTAAGTTGATTCCATGTTTTATCTTTTTGAATAATACTTCTATGAACATAGGAATGAAACAAAAAATTTAATTATTGTGTCCATGTCCATTATTCTTGGAGAGATCACTCCACTTGATCACTTGATATCCCGTTACTCATCGATTTGCTCGAACGGGCTACAGTAACGTCTCCATTCGTCCCTATTGCATGCTAATGTAGCCCAGTGGCATCTGCTCGTTCTAGGAACACAAAGAGCCTCAAACTGATCATTCAGGGTCTTGACGAAGAAGTCTGACCCATCTCATAGGTGGGCGGCCACACGATCTTTTGACATCTCGTGGAATCCAGTCGGTGATGGCACTAGTCCAGCGGTCATCTCTAAATCTCATTACGTGTCCAGCCCATTTGATTTTCAACGCCTTGGCAAACGAGACAGAGTCCCTGATTCTTGACCATCGATGGAGTTTGGAACTCCGGATTCTTTCTCTCATTTGAGTGAAGCAAGATACTCCAAGCATAGCTCATTCTATTCCTCTTTGGGAGACCTGAATAGTGTTCTCATCCTGTTTTCATAGGGCCCAGGTCTCTGAGGCATATATTAATGCAGAAAGAACAGTGGAATCAAAGAGATGTGCCCGGAGCCGGAGCTTCTTCATCCTCTTAGCTATTTCTTCGATGTTCTTGAAGGCATTCCAAGTCACTCTCTTCCTCCTGTGCAACTTAGGTGCCAGGTCATTCGTCATGTTGACTTCTTGACCTAGGTACACATAACTGTTGCATTCGGAGATGGTCGTCCCGTTGAGAGTAAATGGAATGTCAGGAACGAGACCGTTTCTCATAAACATTGTCATTGATTCAGCTGTAGTCCGATCTTTCCACACTCACGGTTGAAGTCAGCCAGCATTTGTGCCACTTGACTGGTGTTTGTTGTTATTAGAACGAAGTCATCAGCAAAGCGGAGGTGGTGTAGTTGCCAGCCGTCTATCTTCACTCTCATTCCTTCCCATTCCAGTCATTGCATGACGTTCTCAAGGGTGGCACTGAAGAATTTTGGTGAAATGGTATCACCCTGCCGAATCCCTCTCTTGACGTCAATGATCACCCCCCAGTAGAATGGTGAGATCTTGGTAGTGAATCCGCAATGCAGCTCACGAAGTATTCTGATGTATTGACTTTGAACGCCCTGTTTGGCTAGGGCCTCTATGACTGCTTCCATCTCAGCAGAATCAAAGGCCTTCTTTAAATCAATGAACATTAGACAGAGCGGCATCTTCAACTCCCCAGAAACCTCAATGAGCTTGGTTATTGTGTGGATATGGTCGATTGTGCTAATTCCTTTTCGGAAACTGGCTTGCTCACATGGTTGTCCTTCATCTAGTGTTCTGCCAATCCTATTCAGGATGACTCGAGTGAACAGCTTGTAGACGACAGAAAACAGGCAGATCGGGCAATGGTTGCCAATGTTGTGGATGTCTCC